AAATGTATGTAGAAATGTTAGCAAAATTAAGGCAATGCAATGCAGAAGTGTTTTTGCTTTATGTTGTTTTTTTAAAATATAATATTAATAAAAAATTTAAAAAGTGCATCCCCTAGAATTGATGCCAACCTTTCCCTTTGTCTTTTTTTTTCAGGGATTCAAAGATTTTGAAAAAGAGGAAGGGAATTTTTTAGGGTCTTTTGTCTACAGAATTGATGGTTTCCCTATGCAGACATTCCTGTTGGAGGTATGCTTAGGAGTAGTGAGAAAAGATCACAAAAGATTTAAGAGGGTGTCGTTTAATCAACCACATATGCACCGTGATTTTTCTGGGTGAAAGGTAGTTTAATTTGAATTTAGCTTGTCAGTCGTGGGCAGGATTAAAAACAATAACAAAGTAAAGTACAAACCGAAAAAGCCCTCCTCCTATAATCTGACTGGTAAAATTAGGTCTGATCAGAGACCAAGTCTAAGCAGCCACAGACACCTGAGATTTTATTTTTTGCTTTATGTTTTAATGCATTTACACCAGGAATCTGTGGCCCACAATCTGTGGAGGTTCAGAATATGGCCCCTCCCCTTTCCCAAAGCCCCACCCCTTCCTAGAGAGATGGGGGGGGAAGCTTTGCCATCTTTGATTGAAGTAGTGTGCAAGCAGGGGAATCCCCACTGTTATTTCTGATTTCTGATTGGATATGAAAGATTCCATCTCCCAGTCTCAGCCACTGCCCCCAAGAGGGAGTTGAATTCCAGAATACGCTTCTGGGGATGCGAGTGGACACGGGGAAGCAAGAGACCGAGTTGACATCTGTGCTTCTCAGTCAACTTTCCCAGTATCTCCCGAGAATGCTGGGTGCGAGTGATTTGCTTCATTTGCTTTATAAAATGAAGCAGGAGCGAATCCGCCACTCAGGCCCAGGAGCCGAATGGCTACAGGAGCAGATCCTTCACGTAGGGCATGTGTCACAGGGTTTTGTTTCTCATACCACCTTTACCAGTGGGGGAAAGGACAGTGTGGGTGATGCCTCTGCCCAGGAATCAGATGCAGCAACAAGGAAAGGCCGGGATGTCACACTATGTGGCTGAGCTCACTAAGATAGGATGTGGCCACACCTCTAGTGCCATCGGGACACCAAACCATTTCAGTTCTCCACCCCTAATTTGTACTTGGCCACTCCATTTAAAATCCTTTAAACCAACCAGTAGCAGATGCTAAAAGCATAATGTGGTAAAACTGGCCATTGAATATAAAACTAACTAAAGCAGAGAGGTGGGCACTTGGTTGCATCTTGAGTCAAATTACTTTTTTTATTTCAATGGATTAAGGGAAATTTCTGTCCCCTAAGCAAATTTCAGACTATGCATTAAGTTATTTAAAACAAATTAAGTTGGGCTGATGTTAGTCTTAACCGCAGTGGACCCACTGGAATGAACGACACTCGTTTGTCACTACTGAGATACTTCCAGATGACCTCAAGTTGGCTGAGCCCAGGATTCAGCCCACTGTACAATTCAGAACACATTCACAGATTACTGACTGTAATTCTCTTAATTAACTGACTAACCCAAGTCTTCTTTCTCTTCCTCCCTTCCTAACATGCATTATGAATTTACTATCAGCTCTCTGTGAATATGACAATCATAGTGAGATTGCCTTAAGGGAATCCCTAGAAAGAGCCTTGAACTTGACCAATAATAGCTGGAGTTATTCAGTAGACATGTCTCTGTAGGAGCTAATATTGAAATATTGCTTCTTAAAATAGGACCAATCTGAGAAATGGAAAATCTGCTTAGATAGAGGGGCATAATTTACTGTTAACTAGCTTTAGTACCTGTCCTGCAGGGCTTAGGGTGATAGAGGTCAGTACTGTATACTATCTCCATGCAGACCAAGGTTACATGTAATCTGTCCTGGGATAGAATGATATATTGTACAACAGACAAATAATGATCTTCAGTTTGTGTTCATAACACCTCCCCCTTCTGCCTTTTTATTTTCAGGGAGCATATTTAGATGAATTTAAATATTTGCTCTTGAAGATTACAAGTAACTGGAACCATCCAAACTACACATGTATATATGGATTTCGTGTATATAATTATTGAGTACGTATGTTGAGAAAAAAATCATTGTAATAAATAGGTAGTTGTGTGTTTCTGTTTCTAAAAAGGTGTCATTGTAAATAAGCTTATTTCTTTTGGATACTCGAATTGTGGTGTATAGAGTGTTTGAATTGTTTTAATCCTACTTTGTTGTAAGCCGCCCAGTGTACACCCTGTCTAGATGGGCGGGATAGAAATTCAATCAATCAATCAATCAATCAATCAATCAATCAATCAATCAATCAATCAATCAATCAATCAATCAATCAATCAATCAATCAATCAATCAATCAATATCTTATGGAATGATTTCAGAAAACAGCAGCAATCCCAGTAACAAAAGATACTACACGGTGACTTTTTTTGGGGGGGAAAGGTGGATAAACAAATAGCCACAATGTTATTAGAGCCACTTTATTAGCTGCAGCAGAAAAAGAGCATTGGTACAACATAAGGCAATTGGGTCCAAACTTTGGTGGCCCGCTTGCTAGCTCGTGCACCCTCTCAACCCTTTGAAGATCAGCCCCTGCAATAATATGGAACAGCCCTTCCCTTGGCTCAGAACCACTGAGAAGACCCTCTTGTCATCTGCTGTGAGGACCACAGCACCTCTTGATCTGGGAACACCCTTGTGGGTCTTCATCTCAAGATCTCACTGCGATTCCTGACTTGGGAAAGTGGTCCATCTGCCCTGATGCTACAAACGGAAATCAATCCTATATGGAAAACCACGTGTCATGCACATTGGTAACCAATTAAAGCCATGACAAGAATGAAGAGCTAACAGGAAATCTACAGAGGTACATATATGCAACTTGAATTACAGTTATCTTACACATATCCTAATTCTATTGTAAGAGCTTGTAATCTTACCCTTACTTCTTCTGTACATCTATAGGAACCCCCATCCATGGCTGGCTAAACTCCCCTCTGATTCGTCTTCCAGGGTGTCAGTTCAAATGCACCGGTGTGGGTGTAATGGCTCTGAACAATCAAGCAGCTGCCTGCAGAAGATGGTAGATTGCTTGTTGCTGCATTCTCCATTCCATTCAGTGCATTCTCCAGCCACCAGGCCACAAATCAGTCCTTGGCAAGTCAGAGAAATGTTTATGGATGGAGAACAAAATACATGCACTCTCATACATTCATATTGGAAGGACATACAAATGCTTTTGGATTTTACAAATTTTTAAATGTATGATTTTTACTGATTTCTACACATATGGCAAGATGATTTGAGTCCTATGAATAATTTTTTTTCCAAACAAGGACAGCTTTTTAAAAATTATCAGCAGTTTCCTTGCCAATTAGACTTCTGTTAAATTCAATCCGTTGAGCCCAACATATCTCTTATGTCCTAGTTTCTGCAGCCCCCTGCAGGAAGAAAAAATAAATTGCAAAACAATGCTAGGAGTTTGAGAAAGAGAATAATTCCCTTTCACTGGCTCCTGTGGCTGTGGTCACACTGGCAATAAGAACCACATTTAAGCACAACTTACATCAATTCAGTTTTTGTTTTTTACATGATGCATGGGTGAAATTGATTTATATGGGCTGCAAAGTGAGGGTTTTTTTAATTGGCCGGCAGAGGCTTTTTAAAATAGATTCAGTTCATTGCAGTTTTGTGGAAATTAGTCAATTTCAGCAGTGTAGACACAAAAACCAGTCTAAATCACCAGAAATAAAACAATGTCCATTCAGTGCATGTGAACGTGGCCACTGGTTTAAATGCCAGGTGACTTGAGTCTGGATTTTTAAAAAGTCTGAACAGAAATTGATTCAGTTCGCCAGTGTGACCACATCCCAAGTGTACTTTTTACAACAACATACACATCTACGGCTTATTATGAGTGTTTGCTCAGAACTATGCTCTTGCTGGCAAGTGAGTATGTAGATACAGGACTGCAGTTTCAGTGAAGCCTACTTGTTGGGTGTGAACGGTATTCGAGTTTATCTTTCAGAGAACATATGTAGAGCCATTGAAAGGCAAATGCTCCAGATGACGTGCCTTCTGGCTTCAGAAATTTGATTAGAGTTGCTCTAAATTAAATTGGACTTCCGGAAGAATAAATCTGATAACAGGTACATGGGATACACATGAGGAACAGAGATGAGCTGAAGGTAGACTGCAATCCAGTGGCAGTTTTTTGGGCAATTTGCAGTAGATCTGCATCAATAATTGAGAGGCAGAATAGCATGTCAGAGTGTTAGTTTAAAAATGAAAAAGTAAACTTGGTGGCAAAAGAGAATTTGCTCACCCACCATCCTCGCAGAGTGAGTATCATAGAAGGAAAAATTAAGATTTAGGGAGTGCATGACGCTCATTTTAAAATAAATAAATAAAATGCCTCCCCATGTTAACTACGTGATAACTTTTAACAAGGAAAAGAAAAGGGGGGGCAAACGTTCTCCTCTCTTCTGTTTCAAGACACCCCTCTTCCCCACTGTATAGCAATAAAACATGCAGTGCTGCAGGCCCCACTTGTGCCGTAAGTTTGGATTCTGGAGACAAGTTATTTAAAAGTCTTCGCTCCTCCTGTCCACGATATTGTGGTAGAGGGCTTTAGCTCACTTCGCTTTCTTCTTGCCTCTGTATGCCCTGTTCACCCCTTCCCCAAACCTGGCCTGCACAATCCATCAAGAGCTGGGGGTGGGGGTGCAAAGAATGTTGTATGATTGGGAGGGGGAAGGGGTCCATTGCACCAGTGACATCTCTGCTGCTGCTGGAAAGGCAGCCTTTGCATTCATGCCACCACGGAGTCTTCAATGCTCCGTCTTGACTGATTAGAGAAGCTAAGCAGGCTCAGTCCTGGTTACAAATATGGATGGGAGACCACCAGCATTCTTTGCCAGGGATCTGCATGGAGGCAAGGGAAGAATCCTGCCTTATGCCCTAG